TGACCCGCCCCCGCCCGCAGGCCTGCAGGTGGTGCTCAAGTCCATCATGAAGGCCATGGTGCCGCTGCTGCAGATCGGGCTGCTGCTCTTCTTCGCCATCCTCATGTTCGCCATCATTGGCCTCGAGTTCTACATGGGCAAGTTCCATAAGGCCTGTTTCCCCAATGGCACAGGTGAGTCCGGCACCCACCCATCCGGGAAACGGCCTTGCTCTGGGTGCGGGGCCTCTAGGGAGGCAGCAAATGACACGCAGCTTATATTCCCGCGGGGATGCGGAAGGACCCTGAGAAACACAGACACAAAGAGGGGCAGGTCATGGTAACTTTTGGGAAGGAAACAGAGGGTGTCAGAAATGGAACGATTTGGGGGCCCCCTTCATGGAGCGTGGCCATGAGCCCTAAGGCGCAGGGAGGGAGAGCCAGCCTGGCCAGAGCCTCTGCCACGAGGAATAGCAGGTGCAAGTGGGGAGACAGGACCGGCGACACCGGGGGAGCTGTGTGGCTTTGGCGGGGATGGCAGGAGCTTGGAGCTGTGTCCCGGGAAACGGGACAGCGGGGCTCTGAGTGCGAGCGGCACACTGAGGGCGCCCTGGGACGGGCTGCGGGGCCCACAGAGTTTGCTGGGAGCGCAAGAACGGGGGCAAGAGGAGGACACAGGTTTGAGCTGCAGAAACGTTCACAGAGGAAACCCACGTGACAGGCTCAGTAGATGCGGGAAAAGCTTTTACTGAAACTTAAGTCACTCAGGATTTTTAAAAAGTCCCTGCTCCAACAATAAATAAAAGGGAGTTTTTTTTAGACATTCCTCAGTTTCCTGCAAACCTCATCCTTTGTTGCAAGTCTTGAGAGCCTTCCCTTCAAAGGCTTGAACAAAACAGAGGCACCGCAGTTACATCCAGTCTTCCGGCACCAATCATCACAGCCAGGAGACAAGGGAGAAAAAACGTTTGTTAAGAACCTGAGAGCAGGAAATAAAACTTCACTCGAGAGTATGCAGCTAACTACAAGCAGGCAGTGACTTTCCCGTCTCACGATTGTGCATTAAAATGTTTGGAGGGAGAGGACAAACCCCGCATGGTTACCTTTGCCTTCTGAACCTGGGAGTGTTGGTTTCATCTTAGAGTGACTCAGAAGTTCTCCGTGTTGACAGGAGGGGTTTCTGTGTATTGAAAATCGTTTTTTGCTCCTTTCACTGGGGTTTGGAGAGTGGAGGGATTAGCACCTGCTGCTTGCATCTTGTCCCAGAGATCAGCACTGAGGTTCTGGTGTTTCTCTGACGTCCTTCTGTGGGGCCAGGGCAGTGCCTCCCCCAGCTGTCTGCTGGGCACAGGATGGGCTGGCTCTGGGTCCCCTGCCTGATGAGCATGGGGACTGAGGTGGCTCTGGAGCGAGAGGCAGGTGTGCGTGTCAGGAGAACCATGTGGTGGAGGTGGGAGGACCTGGGGTGAGGAGTGTGCTGTTCCTGGTTTTAAGATGAATGAGTCCTGAGCCAGGTTAGCAGCGATGGACAGTTCCGGCGGGGGCGGGGGAGGGGGCTGAGCTTAGGGTCAGGCTACAGACAAGAGGGGACAGCTGGGTAGGGGTGAGAAAGGCAGTAGGAAGTTGAAGGACTTTTTATGGGTGCCAGATCCCCCCTCCTGTGCTGGGGTCTCCAGACTGGGAGGGGTTGGAAGACTTGGGACTGCCGAGCTCAGGGTCCAAGCTCCCTTTTCCTACCCACAGAAGGAGACCCAGTGGGCGACTTCCCCTGTGGCAAAGAGGCGCCTGCCCGGCTGTGTGAGGGAGACACCGAGTGCCGGGAGTACTGGCCAGGACCCAACTTTGGCATCACCAACTTCGACAACATCCTGTTCGCCATCCTGACAGTATTCCAGTGCATCACCATGGAGGGCTGGACAGACATCCTCTACAGCGTGAGTCATCTCTTGGCCCTGGAGCTCCTAGGCCCCATCGGGCGACGCTTCTGACCTGAGAGCTTCTGCCCCGCCCTGACTCCTTCCTTCAGACCCCCCCAGGGGTCCACTGTGATCAGCCTCAGCTCAGATGCTTGACCTGGAACCTGCAGCCTCCAGGACAGTGTCTGCTAGGAAAGTGGACTGCAGGCGGTTGGTGGAGGCCAGAAAACAAAGTTCCAGAGCCGGTGCTCCTACTGGGCACTCAAGGCTGGAGTGTAGCCCCAGGCGCTCCTGTTCAGTGTCATCTCGTTCCAAGTCTAGCCTGGGAGGAGTTTTATACATGAACTAGGAGTCTAGTGTGATCCCACCACCACCTGACGGAGCTGAGGCTGGGGAAGTTGACTGATTCACCTCAGGCCCGAGGGCTCAGGGTCAGCTTGCTGTTAGCAAGGAGCTGAGTGTCCCTGCTGGGGTCTTCAGAGTGGAGAGAGGGACAATGGGGCTGCCTGAGGAGCAGGTAGGGTTTGGGGCTGCACTGAGCCGGGGCTTGGGGATACTTGGGTCATCGTGCCGGGTGCCTGGGTGAGCCTGTGTCTTGTTCCTCTGTTCCTGTCCTGATCTCACTCCAGGATGGCAGCCCTGCTCAGCAGTTTTGGGCAGTCTGGGTTTGGCGCCCATCACAGAAGTTGTGTATAACCCTGGGGGGAGGCCTGATTACCTATGTCACTCCCACCTTCTCCCACCTGACACACTTCCCCGGAGCAAGTCTCTGTCTTTTTTTAATGTGGTAGTTTCCCCTCCCCCAGCACCTTCTGCCTCTAGAGCCCTGGGAACCACCAGGGCAGGGAAGCAATTAAATCAGTGTCTCAGGGTCTTTGGGAGGTGGGCAGGAAAGGTGTGTGGGAGCCAGGAATTGGTGGCTGGTGGATTGCTAGCTTTTGCGTAGCTAGAGGGTGTGTTCTGCTCTGAGGCAGCGGTTGGGGGGACCCTGCACCATGAGGTACTTCACTTTGAATCCTTACATGTGCATGTGCACTAGGATGGGGCTTGGGCTGCAAGCCCGTGGAGCCCTGTGCCCACAGCCTCCGCAGCTCCTGCTGGTGGCTCTGCCTCCTCCGGGGGGCTCGTGGAGACCCAGGTAAATCTCGGGACTGGGCACCCAGCAGGTGCTTGGTCAGTGCTCGGGAGCAGGCAGAAGGAACGAGGAATTAGAGAGAGCTGGCCCGAGGTCTGATGAACTAGATTCCTTTGTGGGGTGGGAGTCGAGTCTGATGACAGCTCTGTCTGATCGAGGGACAAAGGCAGGGATGAGGCACTTGGCTGTTCTCTCCCTACAGCTGATAAAGGAACAATTTTCACAAAGACAGACCCTAAAAATAGCTCTGAGCCGGCCACATCCTTGCCAGCCCCACCCAAATGAGAGACTGCAGGGCAAGTCTGTGCTGCCCAGTGCTCACTGAGGCTTGGCTGGAGGCCAGGTGACTCCTCGGTGGGCCTCTGCCCC